GACGCACACCCGTCAACCTTTAAGTTGTGGCTGGTTGATCTTATGCATCATTTGACATTAGAGAAAATCAGATTCTCTACAAGATGGTGTTTTGATTTGGTTCTGTTCTGTGTATTTTAGTTGATACTCTTAGTCAGCGGTGCCAAATGTCTCAGTATAAATACCTAATGAATCTACTTAAGTACTTTTTTTTTTATAATAACCTGTACGTAACGTTTTTCAGATAACTTTTTACTTTTATTCCCTATTTTTGAACACAAATGTTTTTATCCTCGACGACTAATTTTTGCAAAAGTAGTTAATTGCTTCGGGTCCAGTAACATTCCTGTATAACACATTACTCTGTATAGTTTGTCCTTTTTCCACTTTTGACAGAGGTGGTTTTATGCTACCAGAACCCTGCCTGTCTCTAGTTCTACAAGAGAACAAGATATGCTTCTGTCCTTCCCACAGATTAAAAGGTTCTAACCCAGAGATCATTTATTCCTAATCCAATTTTATGGGCCAACTTTCTAAAAAAAAAAAACAGTTAATATAAAGATAAAAAGTTTAAAGTCATGCGTGTGGATTCCTGACCGCAGTAAGTGAGGCAGGCGGTGCCGGCTGGTCCAGAAAAACATGTCGGTCATGCTCAGGTTCCCAAAGGCTTTTAATGAAGGAGACAAGACGGTGAGGTTCCCGCTCAGATCCTCCTGAGCCTCTTTACACCTCTGAAATCAAACACAACAATTCTGATTTCAGTTAATCTGAAGTAGTAGAAACACAGCTTGGTTGACCATATCTCTGACACAAAAGGTTTGATATGGAAAAAAAAAAAAAGAAGAAAAAAAGAGAAAAAGTCAGCATGGTGTATTCCCACACAACTCTTTACCACTCACTGATATTATGGAGGAACAATCCTGCCATAATCAAAAATAAATACAGAAATAAATAGATACTCAATAAATAAGTAAGCATACAATTAATTGCCCCCAAAATACAATAAAATGTATAAATGTAGGTAGCAATTTAATTATACAGTGAGACATAAATGTATATATCTCTTTTAATTAGCTTTTTTATTTATTCGCTTTTGTAATAATTACCTTATAATTAATTGCCTTATAATTACCTTATTNCTTTTGTAATAATTACCTTATAATTAATTGCCTTATAATTACCTTATTTATTTGCATAATGAGGCAGAAATGCAGACAGAAATGTAAATACGACAGGCAGAAATAAATAGCATGGAAGAAATAAATAGGGTAACAAATACAAAGAAAGGATAATACAGACAATAAGTAAATACTTAAAAAAATAAGTAATAAATAGATAAAGTTGAAGATTATTATAGACAATAAATAAATAAGGTAATTATTACAAAGGTGAAAAAAAGAAGCTAATTAAAGAAGATATACATTTATGTGTCACTGTATAATTTTATTTCTACCTACATTTATTTATTTATTTATTCATTGTATTTTTGAGGGGCAATTATTGCATTCTTATTTATTTTTGGAGCATTTATGTATTTATTTTCAATTTTGGCAGGATTGGTCCTCCATATATTATGCTCTATGATGTATTTTAAATATTCACCTTTTTATGGTTTTAGGTTCCATTGAATTAAAGACGGAAGAGCTTCAAACACCTTCTGTAATTCTTTTCAAGGTGTTTCATAGGTACAGTCCAGGTATATCTGACCTGGAAATGCTAAAAAGGCTAGATTCTTCAGTATTTATAACTTTCTTACTTCAGATGACACTGAGCTTCAGAAGAAAACACAGCGGACTGCTGTGTTTTTTCTTCTTTCCTATGCGAGTGCACCACACTGGTGTCATTGAAATTGTCCCCAGAGGAGGCTAACCTTCCATGAAAGCTAAATTCTTGCTGCTTCTATCAGATTATCTTAGCCTTATTCTAGGATTTTCTAACTAAAAGATGAACAGCCAGAGCGTAAGACTTAAGTTGTTGTGGTTTCTCACGGTCTCTGCTGCTATTTCATTTTTTACTATGATTGGCTAGAAGCAAACTTTGGTAGGCGGGCACTAGGTATTGCTTTGCCCAATCAGCTCAGAAGGATCTTCTTAATGTCTTTCATTCCCTCGACCAGATTTGATCAGAGCAGCCCATGGTTAATAATGTGTAGAAAAAAACCTGAGCGCTTAACCTGGCAAGCCAGACTAATAAGGAGCAACTTTGGCTATGCTCTTTTAAACTGAGCTACCCCACATATTCAAACCTAAAATCACCAAAGTTTACACGGGTCACAAGAATTGGACAGTAAACATTGAATTCTTCTTATACAGAGAAAATACTACCTGTTAAATATGTATGGTGCCTCTTACAGAAAATATTCTAACAGATTGCAAATAAATACAGTTTTCTGTCAATCAATTTTTGCCAAAACTCAGAGGTTTTTTTTAGACTCGGAAGTTGTAATATCTAAACATGTTGCAAACAAAACCATCCACCAGTCCAAGAGAGCTCTCACAAATCATTCCGGGATATATCTGCTCGTCTTATGACCATGGATGATGTCATGGTCTCGGCGCTGATGAATGGCTTAATGGTCCATTCACCTGTCCATTTCTGCCCAGTTTCTCATCAATGTTCATCTGTTTCACCTGCTCCAGTCTCTATTCAACCTGCTTGCTCCTAGTCATCAATGGCAGATTATTCAAGCCTTTGGTGAGAGTTATCTAGCATACCTGTTTGTGTTCTGATCGCCTGATCCTGACCTGTTCTACCTTTGGACCTCTGAGCCTGCCTGTTCCGGTTCTGAGCCGCTGGCCTGACCTGTCTTCGGACTCCTGCTGGATCCTGCCTGTGGACTGAACCTAGATCTGCTTCCTGCCTTCAACTTGGTTTTGCTTCAGTACCTCTTTGGATCTCTAATCTTCTGGCTTGGACTCCTGTTAACCTCTTTGACACCAGTTTTGGTTTCTGGATAGTTCTGCCTTCCTTTATCTGCTTGTCATCCAGTTCAGCAGTCTCCAAGGCTTCAGCGTCTTGAACTCTCTGGGCAGCATTCACTGCTTGTTGGCAACCATTCAGCTGCCAACAAGCAGCTGAATGCTTCCGGGAACAGACTCCACTTTAAGACCAGGTTAGTGACTCATGCATTCATAATCATCTGCCATCAGGTTTTCGTGATCACTAATCTGAGTTTTCCCTCTGCATAGATCCCTGCCTTAGACATCCCTGGAGATTCTTCATTTTTAAGAAACACTTCTTAGAAGTACACCTGTCTGTTTGCCTTGAATTCTGGGTCCTCTGTTCTGAGCCTTGACAG